CAATCATGCTTAAATAATATTGCTTAAAATGGTTTATGTTGTTTGGCAGAATTGAGGTTAGGGTTACTTTATTTTTTGTAAATAATCCTGCTTTTTAAAACCCCAAATTTAATAACTCAAAACTTGGGTTACTTTTAAAATTTCGCGCATCCATTTTAAATTAAAGTATGCCCATTGCGCGCGCAATAATAAAGAAAAGTGAAGCTTCCGCGCATGATGCTTTGCGCAAACGTATGTAAATAACACCAGTAATGGCTGCCGGGCTGTAGCCGCGACGCGAATAAGGCCGAACTTATATTGTCGATAACTCCTAAACAGTAGATTTCCGCAAACTTTTACTGTTATTTTCGAAATAACCATGCAAATTTACACCAAAATGGAGATTTTAATTACAATTGGTTTGCTGGGCTTAATCTTCAAATTTACTTTACGTTTTACAATGATATGCACCCTGTACAAGGACCAAGGGTCAATCAAGATAAATGGTTACAGAGTAGGAGGCCTAGTTCATACGTTGAAGATAACGGTTAGCCCTAGACCCCAACAGCTGGTAGTGACAGGAGACGTATACTCTTTGGAATCGGTTCGACGAGGCGGTGGTTCATGGGAAGAATATGCTCAACAAACTTATTCTTACATAATATCAGTCATCGTATTTGTATATTAACGAATTTCAAGATATTTCCATACGGTTTTTCGTTGTTCCTGAGTATGACGATGAACTACAACTGGCAGCAAGGCCTCTGATTGAGAGATTGGAGATTTTGATTAGTGTTGATCTTTATTGCTGTTGTTCCCACGTCCAACCGTACCTGTTATGGGCAAATAGTAAAAACCCCAAACAAAAAGAAAACCTTATGAAAATATGAAAATACATTTTTATAGTAAAAATACCAGTAATACATCTTTATATTAAAATAATACGAACAATACCTATTTATAGTAAAATTACCAGCAATACAAACAACAATAAAGAATTATTTAATAGCATTAATCTATATAATGTCCGAAAATTTTAAAAAATATAACTTCAACAAAATTAAAACATGTTATGGTCCAGGTAAGGACCAAGGAAGAACAACACGAACACAAGAATAGAAATAACGAAGGTATATTACACGAAATAATAATACAAGATGTGGAAGGTGTTAGTATGACTGTCAGTCTGGTTAGGAGTGAACTACTATCGGCTCGACTCGATTCGATATTTACTTGAACACGAGGGAAAGATGTGGCATAAAGCTGAGTTTTACGTGGGTTTTCCGAGCCCGTAGGCTCGGCCAAAAAATGCCCGTAGAACCCGTATAAACAGGATCAGGTTGGTCAACCTCCCGAACGAGACTCTGCCATTCGGCGGAGCCTCGTAGGTTCCTCTGTTCAGGGCAGAAGTTCGACCGTCAAGCCAGGAACCTCGGCTGATTCAGGCCCCCAACGAAGGGGTTGCATGGCACAAGGCCGGGTTTATCGTGGTTTCCGAGCCCGTAGGCTCGGCAAAAACCCGTATAACCCGTATAAACGAGGGTTGGTCATTTCTCCCCGAACGAGACTCTGCCTTCGGCGGAACCTCGGCGGTTCCTTTCTGCTCAAAAGCAGAGTTCGGCAAATCAAGTCGAAGCTCATCTTGATTCGGTAAGAGAGGGTTGCATGCGACACAAAGATCGTGGGTTTCCTGAGCCCGTCATGCCGTATGACTCGTAAAAACGAGATCCATTTCTCCCCAGAACGAATTTTTGCCCTTCGGCGGAACCTCGTCCGGGTTCCTTTCTGCTCAAAAGCCAGAGTTCCCGTCAAGTCGAAGCTCGTCTTGATTCGGTATGCCACCCCAGGGTTGCATGCGACACAAGGCCGTGGGTTTTTATCGGGTTTGACTCGTAAAGCCGTAGGCTCGGTCATTCACCCCAAAAATACCCGTATAAACTTGATTCAGTATCTAGCCACCCCACGAGGTTGCATACAAGATCGTGGGGTTGGTCAGCCAAAAATATCCCGTATGACTCGTTCGGGTAGGTCATTCCCCGAACGAACGGAAGATTCTCGACCCTCGGCAGGAACCATGCGACACAAGGTCATTTTTATCGGGTTTCCTGTCCGTATGACTCGTAAAAACGGTTCATTCACCCCGTTTCTGCTCAAAAGCAGAGAGTTCGACCGTCAAGTCGAGGCTCGACGGGGTTGCATGCGACACAGGTCATTTTTATCGTGGGTTTCCTGAGCCCCGTAGGCTCAGCCAAAATATGCCCGTATGCTCGTAAAAACGAAGATGGTCATTCACCCGAACGAGATTCTGCCCTTCGGCGGAAAGTTCAGGGTTGCATGCGACACAAGGTCATTTTATCGTGGGTTTCCTGAGCCCGTAGGCTCAGCCAAAATATGCCCGTATGACTCGTAAAACGAGATCAGGGTGGGTCATTCACCCCGAACGAGATTCTGCCTTCGGCGGAACCTCGTCCGGGTTCCGTTCGGTTTTTAAACCACCCCACGAGGTTGCAAAAAGGTCATTTTATCGTGGGTTTCCTGGGCCACGTAGTTCGTAAAACCGATCAGGTCATTCACCCGAACAGATTCTGCCCTTCGGCGGAACCTCGTCCGGGTTCTTTCTGCTCAAAAGCAGAGTTCGACCGTCAAGTCGAAATCGTCAGTATCTAGCCACCCCCCACGAGGGGTTGCATGCGACACAAGGTCATTTTTATCGTGGGTTTCCCTGAGCCCGTAGGCTCAGCCAAAATATGCCCGTATGACTCGTAAAAACGAGATCAGGGTGGTCATTCCCCCCTGAACGAATTCTGCCCCTTCGGCGGAACCTCGTCCGGGTTCCTTCTGCTCAAAGCAGAGTTCGTCCGGGTCGAAGCTCCGATTCAGTATCTCACCCCCAAGGGGTTGCATGCGACAGAGGTCATTTGATCGTGGGTCGTCAGAAGCTGGCTTGATGACTCGTAAAAAACGAGATCGGGGTGGGTCATTCCCTGAAATTCTGCCCTTCGGCGGAACCTCGTCCGGGTCATGCTCAAAGCAGAGTTCGACCGTCAAGTCGAAGCTCATCTTGATTCAGTAAAAATACCCCCACGAGGGTTGCATGCGACACAAGGTCTGTATGACTCGTAAAACGAGATCAGGGAAGTCATTCACCGAACGAGATTCTGCCCTTCGGCGGAACCTCGTAAGTTCCTTTCTGCTCAAAAGCAGAGAGTTCGACCGTCAAGGGCGATTCGTCCCTCTTCTTGAAGGCGTACTATACATAGTGTTAGGAAGAGTTCATTCTGTAGTTATAGGTAAGGACCCATGACAAAACATAAAACGCATGTCACCACCTCTAATAATTATTTTCACACAAACATATATATGCACAAAAGCTGAGTTTTATTTACCATGTATTCAATTGTGAAAGCAGAATAACATATATCATACTTTTATTACTTCAAAGCTCCCAAGAAAATTAAATTTCGTCATTAAATGATCCATAAGGAGTTGATATGCCATTAAACAAACAAATTAAATCTATCACAACATTTAGGCCGTTGTGTCCCCTGGACAACCGCCAAGTTGCGGAGTCCGATCATCGCCCTGAAAAATCTGTTACAGTGGTGACATGGGATGCTGGGGGCTGAACCAGGCTGGGAGGCCAAAACCTTCTTGATCTTTCCTTTTCAGGCGTGTCTGTTCTAGGTTCCTGATTCTTTTCTCTTCAAAATCAGGCACCCCGGACCTTACAAGGGAGCGCCAGACGGCACGGTACTCAGCAAACCCTTCCCAGGGGCGAGGGAATGCGGAATGCCACAGTGCTTGAGAGACTCCTTCAGCGTGTCTTTGTAACGTTTCTTTCGCCTGCCAAGTCAGCGCATGCCTATAGATAGCTCGCCATAGAACAATCTTCGTAACGAAATTAACCAATAATAATAATAATAATAATTGTTTGTCCTCCGTATACGAAAATGAACTTGACTTAGAATCACTGGGGGTGGATGGGGGTGAGTTCGAAGATTACTAATAAGTCCGATATTCGACTAAAAAAAATCTGTTACAGTTGTGACATCGGATGCTGGAGGCTGAACCAGGCTTGGAGGCCAAAACCTTCTTGATCTTTCCTTTTCTGGCGTCTCTGTTCTATGTCCCTGATTCTTTTCTCTTCAAGGGAGCGCCAAACGGCACGGTCCTCAGCAGACTTTTCCCAGGTGGAGTTGGGAACGTACTGAAAGACTACTTTAGCGACAGTTGACAATATGTAACACAAGGACGGTTTATTTTGGGGAGCCCGAACGCGTACATCCGGGTGTTGTTCATGATGACGGTCGTCTTTGAGTATAGAATCCAGAGGTTAGCAGTGAATATTTAGAAGACAGTAGTAAAGCTTTGTTCAGGTTAGCAGTGGATATTTTGGTAAAAGTAGCAGAGCGTAGTTCAGTAGTTCTTCCTTCTGTTCCTCTTCGCCTGACAAGCTGGCACTGGACATTCGGATAGAGTAAACAAAATGGCCGCCTTTATACACGACGGATTGAATATTCTACGTCTTCTGATTGGTTAACCTTCTATTGGTGGACTATAAAATGATTCAAATCATTTGGGCTAACTCACTAGTACATAATACCCCAAAAACTGCAACACCGGACGAGGCCACCAGATAGCCCAGCCCCCAAAACCGTCGGATGCGCTTGGCTTACCACTGATTCCCAGTCTTTAGGGCCATAAGGGAGGTGTTACCGCGGGCAGCTGTTTCCCGAGACCGGGCAGCACTCAATAAGATCCTCAGCTGCGCTCTGTCCACCGACAGAGACAAAACTGAGGGATGAAATGTAGTTCATCTGCCTAAGTGCAGATACTACACTTTGATCCCTGGCGAAAAGCTTGAGAGCGAAGGTGACAGCGATACATTCACCATTTTTCAGACGCACATTACCGAAAGACGGAAATCGAGAAAGGCAATCGGTAAAAATCCAATTATCGTAAATAAAATAACATTGCCTGCTAAATTATTTTAAAATCATTATTAACATAACTGTTTGTAAGCCGTGGATTCGGCTTGAAAACTAATAAAGAAAGAAACGAAGATAGAAGTGTTTAACGTCTTCTGCCAATACCTCATAAATAATGGACTATTCTGTTTTTATCGCATGGAAAGACGGAAAGGATTTATCAGAAACGCTACTTGGTTTCAGTGAGAAAAAGAAAGAAGAGAAGATAGTGTTTAACGTCGCTTGCCAATACTTCATAAATAATGGACTATTCCGTTTTGATTGCCTGGAAAAGCAAAAGACGTATCAGAAACGCTACTTGGTTTCAGTGAGAAAGTGAATGCACGAAAGGAAGAAGGGAATGTAGAAGTGTTTAACGTCTGTTCCATTGAAATGGGAAAAGTTCAGTTTGAAATCTTTTCATTTGTACCCGCTTCTTAAAATAACGAACAGCATTTATATTTGTGTTATTGTAATATTTTGTTAAAGTTAGTAAGCTCAAATATTTCACGATGGGATAGGGGAAATTCTACGGATATTTTATTGTCATAGAACTCGCCATTATTAATAAATCATTAATATAAGAATTAAGTTTCATCAAAAAATTCAAAAGGAAAACCATGAAATGTTCATAGGGCTTTTTAGTTGTTTATGTTAACAGTAGCAACAGCGCCTGCAGCAGCATTGGTAGTACTAGTAGTAATATATAATAAGCAAACTTAGACATTTGTACCCGCATAGAAATGAACTGATTTTCATTAGTAATTGTCTTTATTCCTCCATTTGTCATATCCTTAGTTCGCACGACCGTTACGCCCTGCCAATATCTCATAAATAACGGACTATTCCGTTTTGATCGCGTGGAAAGAGGGGAAAAGACGTTAAATGGTTTCCCAGAAAAATAAAAGAAAGAAAAAACGAAGGGGAGATAGACGTATTTAATGTCTCCTGCCAACACCTCATAAATAATGGTCTATTTCGTTTTGACTGCGTGGAAAAATAAAACACATATCAGAAACGCTACTTGGTTTCTGTGAGAAAATGAATTAAAAGAAAGAAGGGAAGGTTGAAGTGTTTAACGTCTGTTTAAGTGAAATGGCAAGAGTTGTTAATTTCAAGTCTTTTCATTTGTACCCTCTTCTTAAAATAATGAACAGCATTCACATTTATATCATTGCAATATTTTCTTAAAGTTATTAAGCTCAAATATTTCATGATGCGATATGGGAAATGCTACGGATATTTTATTGTCATAGAACTCACCACGAGCTTATTCAATCATTAATATATAAGAAATGAAATTCATCAAAAAATTAAAAATGGTGGACATTGAAATGTTCACGGGCCTTTAGTACACAATACACACTGACAGAACAATCAAAGCCAATCGCCCAGATATTGTTATTAAAGATCACAAACAAAAAAAAGTGTCTCCTTACTGATATGGCAGTCCCTGCTGACTGCAATGTATCTTTGAAGATATTCTAAAAGCTGTCAAAATACAAGGACCTTGAAATCGAAATCCCGAAAATGTGGCACATGGGAACATCAACAATCCCTGTTGTAGTTGGAGCCCTAGGATTGGTTGGAAAAGATTGCAGTAGACTAATTGAAGGGATTCCTGGAAGTCCATGTCTCAAAGAGATACAAAAAATTGTTCTGACAAGTACAGCCCACACTTTACGAAGGGCTTTATCTATGTAATTTTTTTTTTTTTTTTTTTTGTCAGTGGAAAGTGTCATGACGCCATTTCTAACCTTAGGTCCCTGGGCGGGACTCGGAAAGAAATGTGTAAACGCCAGAAATCAAAGAAAATAATAATAATAATAATAATAATAATAATAATAATAATAATAATAAATTTTCTAACTAAGGATATGACAATATGATATGACAAATGGAGGAAAATCAGTTCACCATAAGAAAATGAAAGAAATAGTGCGTAAAGAGTACTATAGAAGGGTACGACTGGTATTAAAAACTGAATTGAATTCTCAGAACAGAATTATGGCCATTAATAACCTTGCCATCCCAGTGGTCCAATATAGTTTCAACATCTTGAACTGGACTCTAAATGACATCAGACAAATGGATTCTAAAACAAGAAAGCTTCTTTCTAAGTATAAGATGCATCATCCAAAGGCTGATGTAGACCGTCTATACATACCCCGTAAAGAAGGTGGAAGAGGTCTTATTCAGCTAGAATTGTCATACAAGACAACAACTATTGGCTTACTAACTTACATGGAAACAACAAATGACTGGATGATAAAATTAGTGAAACAACATGAAAACAGAAAGAAAAAATATTCAATAATAAAAGAAGGCAGTAAATACAAACAACATTTACATTTAGTAGATTCTGTAGTAAATCAAAACAGAAGCCAAGAACCAACTATTGCAGCAAAAGATATGAAAAGAAAGCCAAGGATAAAGCCCTTGAACAGATGAAACAACGCTGGCAAGACAAACCTCTGCATGGCCAATATCCAGAACGTGCAAATAAACCCAATGTTGATAAAGTTAATACTCATCGATGGTTACGAGCATCTGGATTAAAGTCTGAAACTGAAGGCTTTTATTCTTGCAGCGCAAGACCAGAGTCTTTTCACTAGGAATTTTCAGGCAAATATCATACATAATAATGTGGATCCAAAATGCAGGTTCTGTGACAAATACCAAGAAACAATAGACCATCTAATCTCAGGATGTTCTATACTTGCCCCAAATGAATATAAAAATCGTCACGATAGAGTGGGGCAATACTTACACTGGACAATGTGCAAACACTTTGGAAAATGTAAGCAAACACTGGTATGAACATCGGCCAGCGCCGGTTACAGAAATAGAAGATGTCACCATTCTATGGGATTATACCATCCACACAGACAGAAAAATTGAAACAAATAGGCCGGACATTATTGTCAAAAACCAGAAAGAAAAAAACTTGCCTACTAATTGATATGGCTTGTCCAGCGGATTTAACACATAGCAACCAAGGAATTTGAAAAACTATCAAAATACAAAGACCTGGAAATTGAAATAGAAAAAAAATGTGGAAATTGAAAACAAGAATAATACCAGTGGTAATAGGTGCACTTGGAATTATAAAAAATGGAACAAAACAACACATTGAAAGAATCCCTGGAAACCCCAGCTTAAGAGACATACAGAAAATTGTCTTATTAAGTACAGCACACACACTAAGGAGAACTTTGTTTATGTAACGCTAGCAACTTCATCGGAGATAAAAAAAAAAAAAAAAAAATTAACATGAAATGTGGCCATAACAACACACCACGACCTGCCTTAGGTCTTTCCGCAGACTTGGTAGGTAGTGTGTCCATAGCAGAAATAATAATAATAATAATAATAATAATAATAATAATAATTGGTATAAATATCTGCAGGGGTCGTATTGAAAAATGAGCATGGCAATTTCCTGTAGGATTAAGAATGACAGAATTGTTGAATACACCAGGCCAGACATAACATTGATCATTAAAAAATTCCCATGAGTGTCTCTTCATAGATGTGTTATGCCTTGAAGATCACTAGATTGCAAGTAAACAAGTTGAGAATATTGTGAAGAACTCAGAGTTTCTGGTAAACTTTCAAAGAAAATGGAATATACATGCCAAAGTTGTGTAGACTGTCATTGGAGCACTTGGATCGATTCCAAAGAATCCCCAGAAACACCTTAATTCCATTGGAATCGTACCCAGTATAAGAAATTTGTAAAAGTAACCATCTTAGTCAAAGCAAATATCACGCATAAAGTGATTACTGTCGGAGGCTTGCGATGGAACAGATTCAATTAAAATTATTTTCAGTGCTT